TCTCCACTTCCACTTAAGATGGATGGGTAATTTTTTCATTGAAAGCAAGACAAATGAACATGCTTTAGGATGATACCAATAACTCAATATGCCCAAAAATTGACGAGTGCCTGATTCCACCACGCTGCCTCACATATATTATTTTACTATTTAATTTAGATGCTCCAACACGAATGTCTGTTTTAATAATATTGACCCAAGAAAGATTTGTTTTACCAAAATTCTAGATATAAATCTAGATTTGAATAGCAATCACATGAGTACATTGTAATAAAATTGTTAACCAAAAAAAAAAGACAGGAAAAGTAATAAAAAGATAAAGTTTTTAACATATTTGTTAACAGATTTTTATAAATGTCCCTCTTTCAAAGAGAGGTGGAGAGGAATTTCGGTATATGTCACGTATATGAACTAATGTAGGTCTGGGGAGCACCATAAAATATACTTAATAAAAAAATTAATATATCGGTATTTCATTTGTTATTGTTGATTGGTCAAGGGCCATTTTTTCCTTTTCTCTGTAGTTTTATTATTACCCTACTCTGACCATTATTGCTTGTATGTACATAATGTACTTGCTTTTGCTTCAATTTAGTTACTGAATCGAACTTACTAATTTTTTTGTTTCTCAGAAAGCTGCATAGCCAACAGCTGACACCCCCCTACCCCCAGAAGCAGATACCCTGTCCAGATACCAGTAAAGACTCGAGAAAACAAAATGTCTTATATAATATAAAGCTGGAGATTTTGTAATGAAGCCATTGAGAAACAAGGTCACTGATCTAGAAAGACATTGGTGACATAAGAAGGTCTAGCCACTTTTCTGGTCGAAAAGGTCCCACGGTGCTCTGTTACTACGATTTCCGTATCTCACACTGAGGCTTAAAGTGACGCAGTGGGGCTGTAGAGATGTCAGATTGGTTGATAAGGAGCTAAATGGATAGGTCAGGTCCCGAGTAGGATTTTAAAGATATTGCCTTGGCCATGGCAGGAGGTAATTGCAGGGGCAGTGAAGATTGTCCAAAGTCTGATTTTTTAGGGGAGATGTAGGAGGTGAAGGGGAGTGGGAAGAGCTGCCTGCAGATTTTTAGCTTGAGTGTGAAGTTGTGTGAAGAAGGGGTGGATTTTGTATTCTGTAATGTTGCTCGCAGTTTGTTGGTGCGGCAAATAAATGTTACTCGTTTGATCCAAAACAAATTAACAAGCAATGCCAGCCCTTAGTATGGCCCTTGATCCCTGCTGAGATCTGTTTATTCAATTCTACTCGTTTGTTATAATTGTATTCTCTGCGGCACATACTATTTGCAATGAATGGACGTCGGTTGTGGTGCAGTGGTTAGGCACGTCGCTGCCAGACGCAGGCGTACGATTCCCGAGTAGGGAGAACATTTCTATCGAGTATATCGGTCTTTCTGCTGGGATGTACACCTTTCCCTCTGAGACAGGATTGCTCCTGACAAGCAGGGTCGTAAGCCCGAATCCTAAATAATCAAAATCGTATCGAGAGGGGCGCAAAAAGTATATTATTACAAAAAAATGTTCAACCATTGTGCTGAATATGAGTTACTCTGACTGTATGCCTCCGTTCAGTTACTTCCGTCACACACAGAAAGAAGTATAATTTTATTGTACACCACTAGCGGCATACCCTGTTTACGTGTGAGTGAAACCCTCCCAAAGCTCTGCTTTCCCAAGCTCTCTTCAAACGTCCCCCAAATTACTCTGACATTTAGTTAAAGCCTATCAATTCTTTGAGATCAAAACTAAAAGTAAAGGGATAGGTTGTTTATTTTTTGGAGGTAATTTCGTCACAGGTCACAATGGCAGAGAAAATAAATACGTATGAAATTTCCTAGCATGATCATTTTAATTGCATAGCTTACTGGAGAGAGGAAAAAAGAGCGAAAGAAAGACAGCGTAGGGGGAGTGACTGAGAAAGAGAGAGAGAGAGAGAGAAAGAGA